AACAACAACAATAATAATAAATAATAACAACAACAATAATAATAATTAATAATGATGATAATAATAATTAATAATAATAATACTACTACTACTACTAATAATAATAATTAATAATGATAATAATAATTAATAATAATAATAATAATAATAATAATAATGATTATTATTATTATTAGTCAACTTATAAATTAGTTAGCTAATGGTTGACATTTGAAATTATATTAAAAATATTATTTACACTAACTGGTTATGTTGTGGACTGCATGTATTAGAGACATAACATCATACCTGATACATATACAATACATGATGTAATAATAACAATAATAATAATAATATTATAAGTCAGCGAATGGTTAACATTTTTTATATTTTATTGTATTTTTTATATTTACACTAAATTAGCTGGTCATTTGTGGACCATGTTTTAGAGACATAATAACATAAATGATAAAATATGTATAATAATAATAATAATAATAATAATAATCGTATTAATCATCATAATCATCATCATCAGCAGCATAATCATTAGTATTATAATCATTAATACGTTTATAAATTAGTTAACTAATTTATAACTTGACATTTAAATATAATTTACATTAAATTATTATTAATATTATTATTATTAGTCAGCTTATAAATTAGCCAACTAATGGTTAGCATTCAAGCTTTTTATTTTTTTAAAATTACACTAAATTAATTGATCATATCTGAACTGCATGTGTAAGAGACATAGTCTCATAGCTAATAAAATATATAAAATATCTGATGAAATAATAATCTTATTAATAATAATAATTATTATTATTATAATAAATATCAATATTAATAATAATAATAATTATTATTATTAGTCAACTTATAAATTAGTTAGCTAATGGTTGACATTTGACATTATATTAAAAATAATATTAACACTAAATTAACTGGTTATGTTGTGGACTGCATGTATTAGAGACATAACATCATACCTGATACATATACAATACATGATGTAATAATAATAATAATCTTATTCATCATCATAATAAGTATTATTATTACTAGTCAGACTGTATTATCTGATTTTGCATTATATATATTTATTTCTTTATTTTAGCAGCCCTTATTACAGACTGGGCGGGGGGCGGGGCGTGGGTGATCCCTGCTGCTGACGTCACGCGCTCGAGCACCTCCTCTCAGCGTTGGCGCGTCAGTCTGCGTTCCGTTATCCGTTATTATTATTAAACGCTCAACAGTTGACGCGACTGCAGCAGAAGAAGTGCTGGGACGCTTGAAAAAATGGGTAAGTAAACTTGAAAACCGACTTCATTAAATTTCACTCGCGCTGTAACGTTAGTTTGAAAGTTTGAGCGTTTTTCGCCTCAAGACAGCGACGGTTTACCTCAGAACGGACGCGCGAAATATAACGCACGTCTCTCTTTCTGAGTTTCTGTTCAAAGTCGTTGTGTTTCTTCGTGTCTGACTCGTTTAAAGGTGGTCAGTGTTAGTCCAGGTAACTGAGCAGCTCTGAGAAGTGAGATTATGGATTAGACTAAAGAGATTTATTACCGCGAGCGCATTTGATGTCAGCCGTGACCAACAGAAACCAATCAAACTCCGACTAAACAAGAGCAGTGTCTGTACAAGAGACTGTAGTTTGACAGCAGTTCGGTGTTTTGTTGGCTGCAAACTCGATTCTGTTTGAAAATAGAAGGAAATAGAATTTTCCATGGTCTCATCTGTGGTTAAAACGAGTTTCAATCTGGTCTACGTTAGCGATGCTCTTCATTAGGATTGCTTGTTTTCAATGAGCTAATCACTTTATGATAATGCAAACCCAAATAGCATGTCTTTTTTTCTTTGCTTATAACTGAAATCACTGGTTCTCAACTGGGTTTGATTCAGTTTTAAACTGGGTATCCAGAACCTGCATTGTTAGCATAAAAAAACCATTTAAAAATGTATATACAGGTGCATCTCAATAAATTAGAATGTTGTGGAAAAGTTCATTTATTTCAGTAATTCAACTCAAATTGTGAAACTCGTGTACTAAATAAATTCAGTGCACACAGAGTGAAGTAGTTTAAGTCTTTGCTTCTTTTAATTGTGATGATTTTGGCTCACATTTAACAAAAACCCACCAATTCACTATCTCAACAAATTAGAATATGGTGACATGCCAATCAGCTAATCAACTCAAAACACCTGCAAAGGTTTCCTGAGCCTTCAAAATGGTCTCTCAGTTTGGTTCACTAGGCTACACAATCATGGGGAAGACTGCTGATCTGACAGTTGTCCAGAAGACAATCATTGACACCCTTCACAAGGAGGGTAAGCCACAAACATTCATTGCCAAAGAAGCTGGCTGTTCACAGAGTGCTGTATCCAAGCATGTTAACAGAAAGTTGAGTGGAAGGAAAAAGTGTGGAAGAAAAAGATGCACAACCAACCGAGAGAACCGAGAATTTATTGAGATGCACCTGTATAATGAGATTTTGTTGGTGGTTTTTGAGTTGAGGTTTTCAGTGTTGACTTATGTCTAATTTAATGAGATTCTACCAAGTGGCAAATTAATTTGCACCAAAATACTGAAGAGTTTGATTGGATGTACAGATTTTGACAATTTTTTTGGTCTTACCTTTTGAATGTTAACACGTTATTGTACGATGCACAGTTATATGATTAGTTGGATTTGATTGTTGTTCCCTGCTGTCTCTGACCCGTCGTTCATCAACGGTTGTTTTAATCTGGTTTTGCTTTAGGACACAGGTTTTACATTGGACATCCAGAACCAGAACTGTACAAAAAGTATAAAAAAAATATATAATTTCATTATATAATATAGTTTCATTTATGGTTTTTGAGGCTGAGAGCATTCGTTAGTTTTCTTCTTTTTTTCCTCTGTTGTTTGTAGGACAATAATAAAACTTGGCACACTTACAGAAGTTGTCCTGAATAGTAATCTGCCAAATTTTGGGGTCTCTGGGACCGAGTTCATATAACCTGTCCATGTTGAAATGTGTCTAATTTTATAAGCTTCCTCCAAACTGTAGATAAATTTGCATCAAAATACAGAAGAGTTTGATTGGATGTACAACGTTGACACCAACAACAAATATAATTTCATTATATAATATAGTTTCATGTATGGTTTTTGAGGCTGAGAGCATTCGTTAGTTTTCTTCTTTTTTTTCCTCTGTTGTTTGTAGGACAATAATAAAACTTGGCACACTTACAGAAGTTGTCCTGAATAGTAATCTGCCAAATTTTGGGGTCTCTGGGACCGAGTTCATATAACCTGTCCATGTTGAAATGTGTCTAATTTTATAAGCTTCCTCCAAACTGTAGATAAATTTGCATCAAAATACAGAAGAGTTTGATTGGATGTACAACGTTGACACCAACAACAAACCATACGGGAAGGGTTTTTTGTTTCAGGGTTTCTGCAAGTCATAAAAAGGTCTTAATTTGCCCTTCCACAAATGAAGGCCTTAGAACGATCTTAAATAAGAGCAGAAAGTCTTAAATTAATAAAGACATGGCATTGAATGTCATATTCAATGTAACTATCCACGTCAACATTTTGGTTTTCCAATTCAAGTATCTAAATCTTTAGATACATTTATGTGAGATTCAGCTAATTTGACAAGCTTCTACCAAGTAGATTGAATTTCACCAATAGATGAATTTGCACCAAAATACTGAAGAGTTTGATTGGATGTGCAAACTTTGACAAAAGTACAAGTGTGTAGTTTTACAATGCACAATTATATGATTAGTTGCATTTAGTTTGCATTCAGATTTGCTTTTCTCTGCTTTCCCTGACCCTTCATTCATCAACAGTTGTGCTTAATCTCAGTGTAAAGTCTTGTATAATGTGTCCTGCAGATGTTTGCATAGATGTTGAGCGAGTAGAGTAGTGTGTATTGTGTCGGCTCTCTGGGTTTCCACTCTGAAGCAGGCAGAAGAGGAGAGAGAGGCGCCACTTCCACGGATGTTTACCACTATTTAAAAGCTCCCGACTGAATTATGGGCTTTGGGACACTAAGAAGGGCTGTAGGCCAGATGGGCGAGCACTGAGACAAGGATGAACGCTCTCTCTGTCTGTCTGTTCATGTTCAGACCTCAGGAATCTGCCTCATCACTTGGTTATCCGATTAACCTGTTTTTAGTTTCAGCACAGTAACTGTAGCATTTAAACTTAAAGCAACACAAACGTAGATGTTCTGAAGAATCTTAATGCATAATTCAAATATTCTTCTAAACATAAAAGCTCCATTAATTAAACAGCGACATACTATGAATGCTTATTTCTGCCACAGAATAAAGAAGTAAACTTTTTATCTCGCAATTCTGACCTTTTTTATCGCATTTCTGAGGAAAAAAAGAGAATTGCGGAATGCAAACTCAGAAACTGAATTGCAACCTTAGAATTGCAAGATGTTAACTTGAAATTGAGACGTAAAGATGTAAACTAAAGATGCATGCTATAGATAAGAGATGTAAAGATGTAAACTTCCAGTTGTGAGTTTATAATTTGCAATTCTTATAAAAAAAGTCAGAATTGAGAGAAAAAAATCTGAATTGCGAGATGAACTCAAATGCGAGATATAAAGATGTAAACTAAATATATAAAGATATACGTTATAAAGTTGTAAATGTACAAGTGCGACTTTATAACTCACCCGTTATGAGGAAAAAAGTGCAAAATGTTAACTCACAGTTGCGAGATATAAACATGTAAAATAATAATATGAGATATAAAGATGTAAACGTTCAATTGTGAGTTTATAACTTACAGTTTCGGAGGAAAAATCTGAATTTCAAGATTTAAACCCAAAATTACAAGTTTAAAAACTTGCAATTGGGAGATATAAACTTGCTATTATGAGAAAAAATCAGAATGGCGAGATGTTAATTTGCAATTGCGAGAAATAAAAATGTGAATTAAAGATATAAAAAAAATGAAATAATAAAGATCTAAACTCAAATTTATGAGATGATAGCTTAAATGTGAGATATAAACTTGCAAATGTGAGAAAAAAAAATCTAATATAAGCTAAAAAAGTTGCAGTGGAAACAAGCTTCCATAACATAGATTTGGAATGAAACGAGGGCAAGTAAATTTGGCTGAACTACTGCTTTAAATACTCCTGGTGATATCTTGCAAGCCAACATCTTGTTTTTATTTATGCTTTGAAGTCCAAAAGCATTTCCTCGTTAAGTCAATGCCGTTTCATCCTTTGTTTTTTACGACATGAACTCAAGCTCGTTTTCCACAGAAGTGAGTTCTCCAGAAATGTTTGGAGGAAGCTGGCGGGAGTGAAAAAGCAGACGAAAACAGAACCGGCTTGATTCGGCCCGCCGCAGCTGACAGTGTGAGAACGTGTGAGAGCATTGGTTTGTTCTCTCTCACAGCGCTGGCTTTGTGTGTCTAGTTCATCGGCCGTGTCTTTGTGTGACTCCAGAGACTGTTAACGTGAAGTAGGTCCAGTGAGTTGGGACATCCTGAGGAGAATAAAGCAGTGAATGAGGGGCCTCCTCAATGAAGTCCTGCAATGCAGCTGCATGTAATCCATAGTTAGACAAACTCACAGGCTGTACTGTTACTCTAAACGTTTGATTCTTTGGATATTTTACAGATTTGTGAATGGCTGCTTTTGTGTTATACAGAATATGACACATTGATTCAAATGCCAAATTCTCTTTTATGTTCCATGGAGAAAATAACAACATACTATGGACTCACAATTCTGAGAAAAACATTGAGTTGTGAGATTTAAATGTGCAATTATGAGTTTATTACTTGCGATTGCAAAATATATACTCTTAATTGTGAGGGAAAAAGTCAGAATTGCGAATTATAGACACGTAAACTAAAGATTTAAAGAAAAGATGTATAAATATGTATTTATAACTTGAAATTCTGAGGAACAAATCAGTAAACTTGCAATTATGAGTTTATAATTTACAATTGTGAGAAAAGGTCTCATTTGCGATATATAAACAGGTAAAGTAAAGATTTAAAAGGGTCATATGATGCTTTTTTAAAGATCATTATTTTGTGTATTTGGTGTAACAGAATATGTTGACATGCTTTAATGTTCAAAAAACACATTATTTTTCAAATACTGTACATTAGGGGTGTAACGGTACACAAATATGACGGTTCGGTACGTACCTCGGTTTTAACGTCACGGTTCGGTATGATTTCGGTACAGCAGGGGGAAAATTTTTTTTTTTTTAAATGGTTTACTGAACAAGTTGCTCTTTCTTTAAATACATTCAGTTATAGTTTAAATG